CAGAGCTGCCAACCAAACAATGCATGGGCAAAGCAGAGCTGCCAAACAATGCATGGGCAAAGCAGAGCTGCCAAACAATGCATGGGCAATGCAGAGCTGCCAAACAATGCATGGACAATGCAGACCTGCCAAACAATGCAGAGCTGCCAAACAATGCATGGGCAAAGCAGAGCTGCCAAACAATGCATGGGCAAAGCAGAGCTGCCAAACAATGCATGGGCAAAGCAGAGCTGCCAAACAATGCATGGGCAAAGCAGAGCTGCCAAACAATGCATGGGCAAAGCAGAGCTGCCAAACAATGCATGGGCAAAGCAGAGCTGCCAAACAATGCATGGGCAAAGCAGAGCTGCCAAACAATGCATGGGCAAAGCAGAGCTGCCAAACAATGCATGGGCAAAGCAGAGCTGCCAAACAATGCATGGGCAAAGCAGAGCTGCCAAACAATGCATGGGCAAAGCAGAGCTGCCAAACAATGCATGGGCAAAGCAGAGCTGCCAAACAATGCATGGGCAAAGCAGAGCTGCCAAACAATGCATGGGCAAAGCAGAGCTGCCAAACAATGCATGGGCAAAGCAGAGCTGCCAAACAATGCATGGGCAAAGCAGAGCTGCCAAACAATGCATGGGCAAAGCAGAGCTGCCAAACAATGCATGGGCAAAGCAGAGCTGCCAAACAATGCATGGGCAAAGCAGAGCTGCCAAACAATGCATGGGCAAAGCAGAGCTGCCAAACAATGCATGGGCAAAGCAGAGCTGCCAAACAATGCATGGGCAAAGCAGAGCTGCCAAACAATGCATGGGCAAAGCAGAGCTGCCAAACAATGCATGGGCAAAGCAGAGCTGCCAAACAATGCATGGGCAAAGCAGAGCTGCCAAACAATGCATGGGCAAAGCAGAGCTGCCAAACAATGCATGGGCAAAGCAGAGCTGCCAAACAATGCATGGGCAAAGCAGAGCTGCCAAACAATGCATGGGCAAAGCAGAGCTGCCAAACAATGCATGGGCAAAGCAGAGCTGCCAAACAATGCATGGGCAAAGCAGAGCTGCCAAACAATGCATGGGCAAAGCAGAGCTGCCAAACAATGCATGGGCAAAGCAGAGCTGCCAAACAATGCATGGGCAAAGCAGAGCTGCCAAACAATGCATGGGCAAAGCAGAGCTGCCAACCAAACAATGTATGGGCTATGCAGAGCTGCCAACCGCAAAGCAGAGCTACCACTCAAACAATGTATGACTGTGTAAACCAAGGTGGGAAGTAAATATAAACAATGTTTAGAAGCACAATAAATGGCTTTTGCTTAATTAATATTGAATCTGCAGAGTCCTTTGTCTTCTCTCCTCAGCACCTCAGTGTCTTTACATCCACAGATGCCTTAGCTGGGATCTCAAAACTGAATTTCAGGAATCAGAGGGGAGTAATTTTGGCCCATTGTGGCTGCCAAGCTGAAGCATCCAACAAAGGGAACATTTTTATACACTTCTCTTATTGCAGGCACAAAGAAACGGGTGTTGCCCAAGCACCTCATATTCAAGGGTCACACTGTGGAACTCAGCAGGTTAATATACACATAAACCACCCTTAGTGCAGTGCAATTCTATATTTCATACTCACCTTGACAGCAATATAAATAGAAACTTCCCTGATATTGGACAGTGGAGGATAAAGTCTTCCTTGTGCAAGCTCTTCATCTGTCAACTGTTCTGCCAATGCCTGAGTCAGAGAAACAAACATGTTTTATTTACTGCACCCCAAATGTGACTAATAACGTGCCAGAGCACCTGAGAGAACCAAGCTGCAGTGCTCAGCACCAGAGTGCTCCCAAAGCACTGGAGTGAGGCACTCAGGATCTCAACATTTCAGTCTGAGGAACTGAGAATCGCCACACTGACTGCAAGCATTTAGCAAAACGAGGTCTGGTATTTTGGGAGATGAATCCCCCACAGCCACAGAAACCCCTGGGCACAGAGCCAGCTGCAGAACCCAGGGCAGGGCAGGGCAGGGCAGGGGACAGCCCTGCTGCCACAGCAATTCACACAGGGACACACTTGCTACTTGGTCACAACTGCCATGGAACCCGATTCTTGGCACAACTTCCTCGGCTCAAAACACTTTTTTTTTCCCCCACTGTGGAGGGACACGCCAACAGAAACCAAACAGGAAACCACTGTGCTTCACCAGGACTTGAGAGAAGTGCCCATCAAGTCATCCGTGTCGTGCCAGAAGCCACAGCCTGCCCTGCTCCCAGACTTACCTTGGCAGCCTCCAGGAAAACCTTATCACTGATGTGCCGGACGCTGCTGAGGATCACAGCCAGAGCCACGCCTAAAGGAAATCACTGCCAGTTAGGGCCACGTCTCTCTGAACGTGCAGCCTGCTGCCAGGAGCTGCCAGTCAGCTCCAGCGCTATCCCTGAAACCCTTCCCGCAGCTTTCTGCACACACTGGCAGAGCCGTGGGATGGCTCGGGTTGAAGATCAGCCTTCTAGAAAGGGCTGGAGCTTTGCAGCCAGGGGAAGGAAGGGGAAGGCACAGGAACATCCCCAGTGCTACTTTTCTACCCGCCTTGTGCAGATCCAACTTGAATAACTATTAACTCTCAGAGTTATTAACATAACTCCAACTGCATGTTAACATCAATTTTCTCCTTGCCTCCCCAAACAAGCAGCAGAACCATAATGCAGCAGCTCCCAAAGCCTTTAATAACACTCTTCTGTTTTCTCAGGGACATCCAGCTGGGTTTGTTCACTGTGCATGCACGTGCCCCACATCCAGCCACTCATTTCTCCATTCTCTAAAATGCTGGCATCACCTCTGCATTCTCCATCACTAACTGCCTCGTGCAGCAAGGGAGCCCAAGGAAAGGCGCAGGCAGCCCAGTCTTGATTAAAGGGTGATTAATACAGTTTCATTTATTACCTGGAAAGATGTAAGCGTTGTTTCCTTGGCCCGGTTTGAAGGTCCTTCCATCCTTCAGAGTGACCAGCTCGAAGGGGCTGCCGCTGGCAAACAGGCACCGGCCCTGGCGGGAGGAAGGGTCAGTGTGGCAGCTGGGCAGGGACAGAGCCTGGAGCTGCCACCAAGAGCCAGGGGCCAGCAGGGGACAGGGGACACTGATCACCCTGCTGTGAGCAGGGGACAGGGGCACTGATCACCCTGCTGTGAGCACAGCACAGGGGCACTGATCACCCTGCCCTGAGCACAGCACAGGGGCACTGATCACCCTGCTGTGAGCAGGGCACAGGGGCACTGATCACCCTGCCCTGAGCACAGCACAGGGGACACTGTTCACCTGCTTGGAGGGACTGTCACAAGCAGGCCTGGTGTGTACAGCTCCACACACAGATTGCAGCCCTTGTGTGTTTACCCTTGCCAACACCACAGCACCACTGCAGCCCTGCTGTGTTAACCCTTACCAGCCCCACTGCAGCCCTGCTGTGTTAACCCTTACCAGCACCCTGTGCAGGATGCAGCCCTGCTGTGTTAACCCTTACCAGCACCCTGTGCAGGATGCAGCCCTGCTGTGTTAACCCTTACCAGCACCACAGGCCAGGCCCCCAGGGACCCTGCAGACTCAGGAGTGATGGCCACTGCCAGAGCAGGCTGGAGCACAAGTGGGAATAAAAGGTCACTGTCTTACTGGAGGGTGGAAGGGCAGAGGGAGGAGCTGCTGTGTCAGACTGCTGCTGCTGAGAGCAACCAGAGCAGTGAATAATGTGGTTTGCTTAGCCTCCCTTTGGAAAGGATTTCGATTTGCACTAAATATCAAAACGTAGCTGAGTGTGATAAATGATAGATAAATGACCCTCTTCTCAAGCAGTAAAGCCACGGAAAGAAAAAAAATCTTGACTTTCTTTTGAGTAACAGGTTTAGGAATGAGTTTAAAGCTTTTAAGGCTTCCCAGGATTAGTGTTTGAAAACAAATTACCAAAGTGGCTGAAGGCTCTGGAGCTGTGTTTGGATGTCAGGGCACAGCCACGACCAGAAGCCTTTTTGTGGAGGGAGCAAAGCAGATGGGTGCAGGAGAGGTCAGGACCAAAAGACAAAGCAAATTGGAAGGCAGCAGAAGCCCTCAGAACACACAGGAGCACCGACAGGCTTTTACAGGTGCCATCTAGTGGGAAAAAAACGAGGCAGGAAAGGTCAGCAGTGGTGTCTTTGTTCCTTTGTTGCCTCTAGTGTAGCCTGAGTCACCAGCCAGGATGGGGCTGTCCCCCAGGCCTGGGGACACTGGGGTGACAGCTCTGATCCCTGACAAACTGCATTAGCCACGGGACACAGCCAGTGAAGCTGGAGATTCCAGAGAACCACACAACAGTCAGGGCTCTGAGTCCATTTCCTAGGTAATTACTGCATCTTGAAGGGAAAACACATTTTGAAGGGCAAGCTAATGTCCAGCTGAGGACATTTCAGAGAACCAAAGAGCATGGTGGAAACAAACAGCGGGGCTGCAGGGAAGTTTAAAGAGACATAAACATTGCAGGATTTATGAGTAAGAACTAGAACAAAACTACACCAGTTCATTTACTGACAGCACTGCTTAATTGCCCAAATAACCCACGCCCACGAGTAACTGGGAACACAGAAAATCCTTAATACAAGAAAAAATTGACCCAATACAGGGAAAAACCCAAAGATCTCCTCTCCACTGGGCTCAAACTTTGCAAACAGCATTGTGCTCTTCCTGTGGGGCACAGGGAGCCTCTGCCCCTGCAGGGACAGCCATGCTGAGGGGCAGCTCCTTGGGGCTCAGCACTCAGCCATGGCAAACTCAGCCTCTTGCCTTAAAACATCTCTTCAGCTGCTGGTATTCCATTAGAAGTGCAAGCAAAAACTAGGCTGGCTCCCCCTCTAACTGTGCTCCTGGCCTCCTTCAGCTAGAGATGGCAGCAGTTTTTACATTTATTTATGCCAACTGAAGTCTTGGTTGCACAACTAACTCCTGTTTACCTTCTATCCAAGATACTGGAATTTATATACTGAAACACTGCCCAGCTCACTGTTCTGGTTAATGCAAGCTACCTGAGAGACATAAAACCACCTCAATTTAAAACTGTGTCCAGGGCAGGGAACGGGGCTGGGAAGGGGCTGGAGCCCCAGGAGAGGCTGAGGGAGCTGGGAAGGGGCTGAGCCTGGAGAAAAGGAGGCTCAGGGGGGACCCTGTGGCTCTGCACAGCTCCTGACAGGAGGGGACAGCCGGGGGGTCGGGCTCTGCTCCCAGGGAACAGGGACAGGAGGAGAGGGAACGGCCTCAGGCTGGGCCAGGGCAGCTCAGGGTGGACATCAGGAAAAATATCTTCACCTAAAGGTCTCTCAATCCCTGGCACAGCTGCCCAGGGCAGTGAGGCAGTCCCCATCCCTGGAAGGGTGTAAAAGCCATGTGCATGTGGCACACAGGGACATGGGACAGTGGTGGCCTTGGCAGGGCTGGGGAATGGTTGGACTCGATGGACTTAGAGGGCTGTTCCAACCCAGATGATCCCACTGATAAGAGATAAGATCCAGACTTTGTCCAGAGGCTGCTACTCCAGGGCTCCCTCTGAGCAGCAGTTCCCTGAGCTGACAGCCCCAGGAACGTGGGACAGAGCCCGGGTGCCAGATGGGGACAGTGGAGTGCCACCCTGGCAGGTGACACTGCCACTGCTGGGGCTGTGATGCTGAGCCCCGCGGGCAGTGCAAGGGGGGAGTTCAGTCTGCAGCAGGAGACAAGGAAAAGTCCCCACCCACCAGACACTTCACAACAGACACTAGATTTGGGACTGTATTAAAAGAAGAGAATTAGAAAAGAATGAGCCCTCTCAGGATCCACAGCACTGGAGGCTGCAGGCAGGGGCTGAGGCCAGCACAGAGACCCCAGCAGTGCAGGAGAGGACCAGGAGCAGCACAGAGACCCCAGCAGCTGCAGGAGAGGACCAGGAGCAGCACAGAGACCCCAGCAGCTGCAGGAGAGGACCAGGAACTGCTCAGAGACCCCAGCAGCTGCAGGAGAGGACCTGGAGCTGCTCAGAGCCCCAGCAACTGCAGGAGAGGATCAGGAGCTGCTCAGAGCCCCAGCTGTGTCTGTCCCACCTCCCTCCCCTCGGGCTCCCTGCAGAGGTCACCAGCCTGGCACAAGAACCTGTGCAGAGTGACAAAAGAGTGGCTTCCTAAAGGCTAAACCACGGTGGGGACGTGCTATCAGGATAATGGTGGAGCTATTAAGGAAAAACCAGCCCAAACCCGGAGTGCCAGCCCTGCAGGGTGCAGTGGCCCCAGGGGAGGGTGCAGAACCAGGTGTGTTTGCTCCTGGCTGACTCATTCCAATGCCTGGTGTGCCAGGGTGAGCTGTGGCAGGGACAGGGAGCACAGGGCCCCAGGGGTCACTGCTGGTGGCACTGCAGGACTGGTGCAAGCCCAGCTCCTGCCCTGCTCCAAGGACTCTCTCAGCCATTACATGGCAAAGCTTGCACTGAGTCTCTGCTGCGAGGCCAGCAGGCTTCATTAAAACACAAAATAACTAAAAAGAGCCGTGAGAAACAAGAGCTAATTGATCAAAGCCACGCCACAGTACTGCTGGTCATTCTCTTAAAAAAGCAGTAACAAGATTCAGGCTATCTGAAGCTTTGCAAAACGTTGTCACCCGAACATCCAGACCTCTTTTCCAACCACCCCCATTTACTTTAGCCAGGAGGCGAGGAAGAGCTGCGCTCTCACACCAGAGCCCAAGCAACAAGAGAACAGCCTGAGCCCTGGTGTTGGGCAGCCCCAGCAGCCCCAGCAGCCCCGAGCTCACACACCTCTGTCAGCGTGTAGGCCTCCTCTGCCGTGCACTCGGCCTTCACCGTGGGGTTGCTCAGTGCAAATATGATGGGTCGCTCGTTGATGGAAGCCATGGCTTTGAGCACGTCCTGGGTGAAGAGACGCCCTGCCCCAGCCACTCCTGGGGGAGAGGGGAACACACAAAGCCAGAATCAAGGCTGGCTGCCCCAGGCAAGGACAGCCAGCCCACCCGAGCTCATGGCAGCCCTCCGGCCTCCCCCCAGGGCACAGAGGAGACCAGGCACTGCTCCGGGCCGGCTGACACTCACACCTGCCTCAGCAACATCTACTGAGTGTGCTCCAGAAGCCTATTTCACACTTTTTTGGTATTGATGAGTATAAAGAACATGGTCCTAGATAAGCAAGTGGGAATTCCAGGCTCTTTGTGGATGATTCATCCCTGCTGGGTGTTAGCTGTGCAGGGCACACCTGACACTGGTGCTCCTGACCACACCCAAACCCAGAGGTACAAACACACAGCTATGATGTATTTGTACAGTGGCTACAGGCTCCAGGGTACTCAGCCAAAAAACCCTCTCCTTTTCCAAATAAATCACGTGCCAAGGAAACTGCAGGCACACCAGGAAATACCTGTAATCCTGTCTGCTCTCTGCAGATAGCCACAGCTGTAAATAAGTACCTACAGATGTCAGTGACCTCGGAGGTGCTGTGAGCTGCAGCAGGGAGCTGCTGCTTCCAGCTGTGCTGCCGGCAGAGTCTGACCACAGGGGGTGACTGGGGGACAGAAGGTCAGAAAACACCCAAACAACTAGAATTAGGGAACTCCTGTAGAAAACACAATGGTTGTGGCTGCTCTCTGTCACTAAGGACACAAGGCTCAGAAGGAGCACAGTGTGTTTTCAAGCAGGAAATTGACCTGACATTTCCATCTTATTTACACCAGCAGACAGCTGTCACCAAGCTTCCCGGAGCCCTGACAGCAAATTAAAGGCAGTAAAAAGCCAGATTGTAGAAAAATAAGCTCACTCACCGATGATAGCTGAAGGCCGAAGTACATTCACTGCCTCTACAAATGTCTTTGGTATCTGCTCCGGAGCTGGATGTGTAAATGGCTCCTGGTGGGAATCCACCTTCTGCTCTCGGCCCTGCAGGTAAAACATTGGTTCCTCCTGTGAGGGGAGGGGAAGGCAGTGGTCACCTGTGCTGGGCATTCCCAGGTGTGCTGCACCCCTACCTGGACCAGCAAGCCATGCTTGTCGAACATCCATACTCTCTTGGAGGCCTCCTCGTGGGAAACACCGCCTTCCATCATGGCCATGACAATGAGGTTGGCAATTCCCAGGGCGGCCTGGCGGATGAAAGGACTGGGCTTTGGGACAGGTCACAGAAGAGGTCTGCCATCAAAGCCCACAGAACCCCTCAGAGAGCCTGCTGTGAGACACAGGAGGCGTTTCCCCCCTGGGGCAGCAGTGACACACCTGCAGCAGGGCAGCTCTCCCAGGTGCTGCGAGCTGTGCCAGCTCAGCAGCCACGCCAGGCAGCCCAGCCCGGCAGGGACACAAGTGCTCAGCCCTCCTGCCACCAAACCAGCCCTGTGCCCTGTGCTCCCAGCCTGCCCTCCTGCCCGAGGCAGGGCTGGCAGAGGGCAGCAGGAGGTGTGCTGGCCCTGTCCCCTCCCTGCCAGGAGAAATGAGGCAGAGCAGGGCTCCCAGAGCACCGGCCAATTACTGCCACCAGGGCCTTTCCCCACATGGAGAACTTCTCAGATAATTAAGCCATTTTGTCAGCACCACAGGAGCAATTGTGCTGATGTACCCAGAAGCAGAGGGCTGCCAGCTGGTGCCTGCTGCAAACTGAATCACCTTGCTGAGAAAAACTCCCTGGGCTTCCCTCCCGTGCTATAAAAATCAACAAGATGGCCTCACTACACCATGATTTCATGGCGAGTCTCCCTTCAAATACACACAAGTCCCTGGTGCTTTTTTCAAAGCCTTGCAGAGAAATGAAGCATGTGAATCCCTGCAAATGTTAAACACTTTTCACACAGCCCTGCTTAAGCAGAGTCCTTTCTGCCAATGCATTTCAGATGGCCTTATATGAAAAGTTCTGCAATGGAGCTCAGATCGTATCTCCAAAATAAGAAAATACACAATGGCAAATCTCCACAATGAGAAAACACCCATTTTAAATATCTCTTGCTGCTCTGGGCCCTTAAGAGGACTCACCTCTCCTGCTCCAAGGAACAGCACTTTCTGCTCCGTGAGTGGTTTCCCCGTGGCTTTCTGGGCTGCCAGCAGTCCTGCCAAGGCCACCGAGGCTGTCCCTGCGAGAGCAGAGCAAACCTGAGGGCAGCTGAACACGTCCACATGGCAGGCCGTGCCTCTGGGAAGAGCTCCTGCACGGATACTCAGGAACACAAACAAAGGCGTACCTTGGATGTCGTCATTGAAGGTACAGTACTTCTCTCTGTACTTCCTCAGGAACCGGAAAGCATTGTGGTTTCCAAAGTCTTCAAACTGGATGAGGGTGTTCTGGCCATACCTACAGGAGATGCAAACACCCCTGCTGGAACCCAGGACACTCCTCTGGCTGCCCTGGGTGACACCTGCTTCCTGGCAGGAAGCCAAAGACATTTGGGATTTCGATCTTAACCCATGGAGCAAATCACCAACCTTGTGTGAAGAATCACAAGGCACAGAAGTTAAAGTAGAGTGATAATGAATTAATCACAGGGTGAAAAGTGGAATTTTGGGGGTTTTATTATAGGGGTCTAGGAGGCATGATGGAGGGACATGGGCGTTGTCCTACTCTTCTTCCCAGCCTCCATCTTCTGGGTGATGGTGGCACGTTTGGATTGGTTTAGAACAGAAGCAGACAGTCTAACAGAGGTGATAGGTATTGGAAAATAATGATAAATAAAGTACATGCAATTCATAGTATAAAATGCAGACACCAGCCCAGGGGCAGGCAGTGTGCCCTTGACAGATCTGATAGACAGAGCTCTGCGGGTCCGGAAAAGAATGTTTTAGATAAGAGACAATAAACAACCTTGTGAGCCAGAGCTGGGGAACTCTGACTCTTCAACCATCAGGATGGGAAAAAGGGACTCTGGGGTCATCCTGACCGCAGGGAACCCGAGACAGCCCCATCACAGTCCAGAGGCAGAGGAGAGCAGCAGAGCTGCTGAGCCCTTATCACGTGTGGCAGCAGGCTGTGCCCAGGCAGAGCCCAGCAGCCCTGCCTCTGCTCCGTGCCTCCTACAGACACCAGGGACAGACAGACAGCCTGCCCCAGCTCCTGGTCCTTTCCTCACCCCCCGGGCAGCTGCTCCAAGGACAGTGTGCTGTGTGCCAGCAGAGCCCTACCTGTCAGTGATGGCTTCCATGAACTCATCGATCAGGTCGTCGTAGACCTGCGAGCGATCCCTCTTCTGGTACAGCCCCATGTAGAAGGGATCCTTCAGGAGTGTCTGCAGGAGAACGAGCCAGAGAGAGCAGCAGGATGAGTCCCTGCCCCAGGGCACACCCAGCACAGCTCACAGGGGCACATTTCACACCCAGCTGCTGCAGTCATACAGCCCCGGCCTACACCAGTGCTCCGGAACTTCAGCTGGCATGGCTGCTTTTAAACAGAACAAATCAATACTGTGAAACTGCTTTAATAAATCTAATTCCATTTCCAGCACCTTAAAAGTCAGGTCAAAACTGACTGCCTATTTTCCAGCATTCCAGTTACTTCCAGATGCACCCTTTCATGGACAAATCAAGGGGCACTTTCAAATCCCTGCATAGTGAATTCCAAACCTTTTACCCTTTGCACAAAATATTCAGGTTTATCTTAAATAACAGTGCTCAAAAAAAAAAGAAAAACCCTCTTACAGTATGAAATGTTTTTTTAAAAAAAAACCCCATTTTTACAGGGGTAACTCACTGTGTTATCAGTCCCCACGTCGATGCACACAGGCAGGCATTTATCTGGGTGTATCCCTGCACAGGCTGTGTACAAACACAGCTTTCCCACTGGAATTCCCATCCCGTACACCCCCAGGTCTCCAAGACCCAATATTCTTTCTCCATCAGTGACGACAACAGCCTGATGAAAAAAAAAAACAAACCCAAAAAAACAACAGGTGAAATCATACACAATCACTGAAATTTATAAAGATTAGATCAACAGCAGCTGTGTTTTCTTCCCAGGCAAAAACTGAGGTATGTTTGCACAGTCAAACAAAGGACAGATCATGAGGAATATTTTCCCCAACCCAAAAACCTGACATTTAGGATGAAACACTGATCTTCAAGATGTGCATTACCTTAATGAGCTGCATTCTGCCACCATCACTGAAGAGCCAAGAATTCATTACTCAATATTTACATTTCCATCAAACACTCGTAAATCTTAAAAGACTCAGCTGAGCTGGAATAACAACTAGAAACTAAATGACACTGTGACAGTACCTTAACGTCGTTCTCTGGCCAGTTGTTCACAATTGACCTTATGTGGCCTCTGTCTGAGATGGAAATAAATAATCCCCTGAAAGAAAAAAAAAAGCAAACCACAAACCAGAAATATTTTGTGGGTGACAATTAGAAATTTCACCTTGCTTTTGTAAAACTAAATGCCAAACAGGACAATATAAAATTCAAAGTTTTACATCCACTGATATAAATTGCCCAAAGGACAATATCTGTTCCTGCGCGGGGTAGGGACCAGAGAATATTTTGTGGGTGACAATTAGAAATTTCACCTTGCTTTTGTAAAACTAAATGCCAAACACGACAATTTAAAACAAAGTTTTACAGCCACAGATATAAACTGCTCAAAGGACAGTATCTGTTCCTGCCCAGGGTAGGGACCAGATGAACCACCTGAAACACCCCTCTTGTGCAGGAGACAGGTAATGGGGCTGAGGAACACCTGAACCAGCCCCCTGTGAGGGGGGACACAGGGATGGGGCTGAGGAACACCTGAAGCAGCCCCCTGTGAGGGGGGACACAGGGATGGGGCTGAGGAACACCTGAAGCAGCCCCCTGTGAGGGGGGACACAGGGATGGGGCTGAGGAACACCTGAAGCAGCCCCCTGTGAGGGGGGACACAGGGATGGGGCTGAGGAACACCTGAAGCAGCCCCCTGTGAGGGGGGACACAGGGATGGGGCTGAGGAACACCTGAAGCAGCCCCCTGTGAGGGGGGACACAGGGATGGGGCTGAGGAACACCTGAAGCAGCCCCCTGTGAGGGGGGACACAGGGATGGGGCTGAGGAACACCTGAAGCAGCCCCCTGTGAGGGGGGACACAGGGATGGGGCTGAGGAACACCTGAAGCAGCCCCCTGTGAGGGGGGACACAGGGATGGGGCTGAGGAACACCTGAAGCAGCCCCCTGTGAGGGGGGACACAGGGATGGGGCTGAGGAACACCTGAAGCAGCCCCCTGTGAGGGGGGACACAGGGATGGGGCTGAGGAACACCTGAAGCAGCCCCCTGTGAGGGGGGACACAGGGATGGGGCTGAGGAACACCTGAACCAGCCCCCTGTGAGGGGGGACACAGTGATGGGGCTGAGGAACACCTGAACCAGCCCCCTCTGCAGGGTGACACAGTGATGGGGTTGAGGAACACCTGAACCAGCCCCCTCTGCAGGGTGACACAGTGATGGGGTTGAGGAACACCTGAACCAGCCCCCTCTGCAGGGTGACACAGTGATGGGGTTGAGGAACACCTGAACCAGCCCCCTCTGCAGGGTGACACAGTGATGGGGTTGAGGAACACCTGAACCAGCCCCCTCTGCAGGGTGACACAGTGATGGGGTTGAGGAACACCTGAACCAGCCCCCTCTGCAGGGTGACACAGTGATGGGGTTGAGGAACACCTGAACCAGCCCCCTCTGCAGGGTGACACAGTGATGGGGTTGAGGAACACCTGAACCAGCCCCCTCTGCAGGGTGACACAGTGATGGGGTTGAGGAACACCTGAACCAGCCCCCTCTGCAGGGTGACACAGTGATGGGGTTGAGGAACACCTGAACCAGCCCCCTCTGCAGGGTGACACAGTGATGGGGTTGAGGAACACCTGAACCAGCCCCCTCTGCAGGGTGACACAGTGATGGGGTTGAGGAACACCTGAACCAGCCCCCTCTGCAGGGTGACACAGTGATGGGGTTGAGGAACACCTGAACCAGCCCCCTCTGCAGGGTGACACAGTGATGGGGTTGAGGAACACCTGAACCAGCCCCCTCTGCAGGGTGACACAGTGATGGGGTTGAGGAACACCTGAACCAGCCCCCTCTGCAGGGTGACACAGTGATGGGGTTGAGGAACACCTGAACCAGCCCCCTCTGCAGGGTGACACAGTGATGGGGTTGAGGAACACCTGAACCAGCCCCCTCTGCAGGGTGACACAGTGATGGGGTTGAGGAACACCTGAACCAGCCCCCTCTGCAGGGTGACACAGTGATGGGGTTGAGGAACACCTGAACCAGCCCCCTCTGCAGGGTGACACAGTGATGGGGTTGAGGAACACCTGAACCAGCCCCCTCTGCAGGGTGACACAGTGATGGGGTTGAGGAACACCTGAACCAGCCCCCTCTGCAGGGTGACACAGTGATGGGGTTGAGGAACACCTGAACCAGCCCCCTCTGCAGGGTGACACAGTGATGGGGTTGAGGAACACCTGAACCAGCCCCCTCTGCAGGGTGACACAGTGATGGGGTTGAGGAACACCTGAACCAGCCCCCTCTGCAGGGTGACACAGTGATGGGGTTGAGGAACACCTGAACCAGCCCCCTCTGCAGGGTGACACAGTGATGGGGTTGAGGAACACCTGAACCAGCCCCCTCTGCAGGGTGACACAGTGATGGGGTTGAGGAACACCTGAACCAGCCCCCTCTGCAGGGTGACACAGTGATGGGGTTGAGGAACACCTGAACCAGCCCCCTCTGCAGGGTGACACAGTGATGGGGTTGAGGAACACCTGAACCAGCCCCCTCTGCAGGGTGACACAGTGATGGGGTTGAGGAACACCTGAACCAGCCCCCTCTGCAGGGTGACACAGTGATGGGGTTGAGGAACACCTGAACCAGCCCCCTGTGCAGGGTGAGGGTGATTAGGCAGAAATCCCTTTCTAATGGACTAATCCCTAGGTGGTTAGTCTATGAATCCCTTTCAATCTACACTTCCTTCCAGAGGCCCTGTCCTGACACAGATCCTCAGAGCCACAGAAGGAACTCTGATAGCTGGGGAATTCCCCCCTGGAATTACAGAGCTGTTGGCATCCAGGAAGAGCTGGGAATGGGGCTGAAGCCCCGCACCTGGACTATTTACGTGACCCATCTCCACGTCTGCTTCCAAATGTTTCGTTTCTCACTATAAACTCTGCCCTGAGATATATTTCAACAAACCTTTACTGCCCTGACGTGGCACAAGCCTCATGTAGCTGCACCTGGATGAAAATGACACAAACCACTTCCAAACTCAGACAAGAAGGCAGGGAAAAGGGCAACAGAAGCAGCAGCAAGGCGTGTCTGTGTCCTTACTTTGGTCTCCTGAAGATGTGTCCGTACTGGGAGCAGGCCAGGCCCACGGTTGGAGTGTACACAATGGGCATTAGGCGCTCAATATCGTCCTGCAGCACCCTGTAGAACAGCTTCTCATTTCTCTCCTGGATCCCCATGATGTAGATGTACCTGTAAGCAACCAGCACAAGGAAAAACACCACGAGCTGCCTCCCACTGCTGCTGCTCCCTGAGGAAAGGCCCCTGCCCTGGAGCCAGGCTGGGAGCACCAAAGGGAAGCTGGGGAAGAGAGCACGGTGCTGGGAAGGTGAGATGGAAACGCTGGATGGGACAGGCCCTGTGTGCTGACAAGGTAACAATGACAAATGTGACTGAATCTGATTTGGGGATTTACTGCAGGGCGCAGCGCGGAGCCTCGGTACCCTTGTAAACAAAATCACAGCGAAATAATTCTGCACCCAGAAAACGTGTCTTGTGAATCCCAGCACCAGCACACACGTGCAGCAAACTGAGCCCTACCAGAAGGCTCATTCTGAAGGGTGTGTACATGAAATCTGAATTTCTGCAAATTTACCCGCCAATTTACTGTGTACCAACCCAGAGTCCTGCTGACCCAAGGACATGAAGATAATGGATTAGCAATCTGCCTTGGGCTACAGCAGCTGGGCACTCGGCCAATGCAGGTGACACGGACCAGCAAGTGACATGGTGTGGATTTAAGAGCCACCTTTCAGTTCTGATGAGAACAAAAGAGCTTTGATGTGCTCCAGAGAGCCCCAAGCCATTCCAGTTCTCCTCCTGCCTGAAGAGACTGTGTATTTTCACAGGAGGAACACCTGTGTTCCTCCTGTACCAGCAAGTGACATGGTGTGGATTTAAGAGCCACCTTTCAGTTCTGATGAGAACAAAAGAGCTTTGATGTGCTCCAGAGAGCCCCAAGCCATTCCAGTTCTCCTCCTGCCTGCAAGAGACTGTGTATTTTCACGGGCAGAGATACATAAAGATTACGTGAAAACAGTAACAGGATGCTAAAACATGGCAGCCTACAAATAAAACACAGCAAAATCCTTTGCAGTTCACCAAACCAGTGGGTTAAGCAACAAAAGATATTAAAAAAATACACATGATGAGATTTAAAATTCTACTCTCCTTTTTAGCAGTAACTACTGTATATGCTAAACACTGGTTTTGGTATCTCAAAGGCTCAGTTTACCTTCATTATCACACATTTTTACAGATCGGGCTGAAAGCCACCTGCTGTGCTCTAACAACCTGCCACTCCATCTTACAGATCACAGAAATACGTGTGACAGGTTACAGGCAGGTTTGCAGCTTTGTTACTGATTTTCACACACTCTCTTTTGCTGTTTTGTGAAAAAAAAAAAAAAAAAAGAGAGGAAAAATAAAAAAAAGCTTCCCAACCTCATGTGACCGCGGGATGAAAGCAGATTTCTGTGCCCAAGTGAAAACAACACCCAAGAACTGAAAAACCCAGCCCAAATGAAAACAACACCCAAGAACTGAAAAACCCAGCGGAGGCACTAGAAACTTTGGTTACCCCCGCGGAGTATTTTCACATTTCCATCCCATTTCCAGCCCCATATTCCCGTTCCCTCGCACCACAGGACAAGGCCGGAGCAGCGCTTACTTCTCCAAGGGGTCAGTCATTTTTGCCAAATTCTTGTGGAAGCGTAAGGCTTGGATGTCTTGTGTCTCTATCTTGGGAGGCAGGAGTCCCTGCAGCCCAAGCATTTGTCGCTCGTGTAAGGTGAAGGCCATGCCCTGAAAACGAGAGGAGAGCAGCAATTATCAGCTCTTGCCCCAGAAATCCCTTTTCCAGGAACAATTCCACTGCACCTTTCTCCAGGCAGGGTCGGGGTGTGTCTGCCTCTCCCGGGGTTCTCCTCACCTTTTGGGGGTGTTCCTTTCGAGCACAGCTTGCCCACCTTCCCCAGACCTCGCCAGATTTAATCTTCCTCTGTGGGGCTGGAGAGCAGCAAAGAGGTGCTGCTGCAAACGGGTTGAAAGTGAAATAACAGCTGCTTTTCCAACTCTTCATTCCCACCCAGGCTGGTCCCCACAGTCACAGACAGTAACACTCACATTTTTATCCGAATTGCTCCATTTGCTGCTTTCTTCAGTAATACAGCCTGATGCCCAAGTCACTGAATTGCCCTCATGCTTCTATTAAGATCACACTCCAACCCAAATACTTAATTTTCACTCAGGGAAGCATCTAATCCATTTGTCTGCTACCAAAAAGCCTCACTGGTAGCAAATCAGAAGAGGTCAACTGCAAAAATTTCTCACTCTTCTCCATTTGGGAGATGAAGAGTAGACAGAGGGTAGACAGAATTTAAATTTATTGTTATTTAAATACTAATTTGAACCGTTTCTCAACCTTCAGATTCTTACTGCCAAGCTGAAAAAAAAAAAAGCTTTCTAAGGTTTGCCTTATGCCTTGTAATTACACTCCAAATTCCTCCTGCCACCAGAAAGGTCAGAGAATCAGATGATCCTTGTGGAAAGGACCCACAAAGATCATCCGTGTTCAATCCTCAATTGGCAAGAAATAAAAATCAGTACTTTTCCACTTGACAGTAAAGGCATCAATTCAGATTAGAATACAAATATTTTCACCTCTGCTAATGTGAGAGCAGACTCTTCACAGGTATTTTTTGAGCCCATATCCATTAATAAAAATTTCTAAAAATAGTCCAGTTGTAGTGTAATTCATCCTACCTGAATGGTTTCTAAACAATACTCCTTAGAGAAAAAAAGCCATTGTTAAAATAATTACTATTTTTACATCATTTTCCTCTTTAGGTCGCATTTAATATAGGTTGTTTTGACTACACTGACTAAAGCAGTCCACTTGCTTTTCTGTACTGATTCTACACTATGCTCTACAGTAATAAAATACTTGAAGAGCCAGAAAGCAAGAAAAAACCAGCAACTCAACCCCAAAAACTTCACTTTTGCCCTCTTGCAGAAAACTCCAAGTATTTAACCCTGAAATGAATCTGTTTTTCTCTGTATTTATTTTCATGTCTGCCAACCTTTCATGTAATAGACTTGACACTAAATACTCATTTCAGTTTAACCTTTCACTACTAGGACAATAGAGTGGTTCTACAAGTAGTCAGGAGTCATTTGCAAACCACTGTTTTCTTTCCCAGTCTAATTGCTGTTCTACAGTATTCTTCCAATACTAAATACAAATAAATTTCAGATGACAGTCCATTCTTCAGGTTTTTAACCTTGCTGCTGGTTTTTTGGGATTGATTTCTAATTTTTTTTTTTTTTGGTGGGGTGCAACAGTCACTTTAGCCACTTCAGTGGTACTTTTTTTCCCAACACTGATCTGAATAATCCAACATTCCCACAAAGAACACAACCATGCAAACAGAGAGAAACTGACAAGAGAGAAGAGCCCACGGAAACACACGCTCTGGGTGCCACAGAGGTTTTTTCCTGTGTTGCAAAGGATTAGTTCCACTTCTGCATACTTCACAAGAAATATTAATTCTCTGCAAGCAGAAACGCCTGCCCCACACAAACTCCTCTCAGCTACCTTCCCATTTCCTCAACAGCCCTGGCTTGCTGCCACCAGCAGTGTAATACCTTTAAATAGAGTTAAACCCTTCCGAAAGCAGCCCTTTCCCACACAAACTGCCTGCAGTGCGAGAGCACAGCTGGCAAACATTTGCAGCATGTTGACTTTTACTCTAGACACCGCAGCAACAAAAGCAACAAAATATTTACACTGTTTAGAGGAAGAAGAGGAAGAAGAAATTTAGTCTCTGGTCAGCAAGGTCAGTGGAGTTTAAGGCTGGGGAAGGCCACACTGGCTACACTGACATTTTCCTGTAACCCAAAACACCTCACTACCAAAACCTACATCCTCCCCTCCAGAAAGCTTCCAGCCCTGTAAAAACCACCACCACCAAATTTCTAATCTCCACCAGATCGTGGCTTTTCCCAACTTCCCTGTAGAGTGGAACCTGTGTCCTTAAAACAAATGCCCATGACCCCTGAGCTTAGCTCCAAGCAGGACAGAGACCCATCTTTATTCAGTTTATTCACACTCTTTCCTGTCTGTAGGGAACCTGGGTGTTGAATGTCTCTGGAGTTACAATAACATCAAACAGGATGAATTTTTAAGTGACACTAAGTACGTTCAGCTGTTGATTTACATGATAATTACATCTCACCGCATTCAAAGAGGCTTTAATTTCTGCCTAGGCCTGAATCAGGAATCAGAATGACATCAGCCTTCACACAGAAACTCAGTCCTTGCTCCAACTGGAACAGAAGAAGTTTAGTCCAGAGCAGTGAGATAAAATCCCTGAGTCCTTCTAACACTTGCAGTATCTTTGTCCATGACCATGAGCTTGTTTTTGTTGTGGATTTGGGATTGCCCATGCAGTATCTCCCAGGATGGAGCTGCAGTATCACACACCCAGCACTGTTCCAGCTGCCTGTGACCACAGCCAGCCCTGGGACATCAGGGGCACAGCCAGCCCCAGATCAGGGGGCACAGCCAGCCCCAGATTAGGGGGCACAGCCAGCCCCAGGAGATCAAGGGGCACAGCCAGACCTGGGACATCAGGGGGCACAGCCAGCCCCGGGACATCAGGGGGCACAGCCAGCCCCAGATCAAGGGGCACAGCCAGCCCTGGGACATCAGGGGGCACAGCCAGTCCCAGGAGATCAGGGGACACTCACTTGGCCCACGCAGCCAGCATCAATTGCCCAAAGGCAGGGAAGAACCCTCACCTAAGGCCCAAATTCCCCCCAGCTTTCCCTGGGATTAAGTGCTTAAGCACTCCTGCAGTCTGGGTCTAAGCAGCAGGATCACAGTGTGCAGGCTGGATTTCCTTCCCCCAGGTGCTGTGTGCTCACTTTCACTGCCATCAGCCTCCTTAATCCTCTTCTCAGCTCAGAACAAGCAGGGGTCATCTCCAGGCCAGCACAGACAAAGCAGGAAGCGCATCCAGGAGGGAACCCAGCACATCTCAAAGCCCACAGATTAATTAATTAACACTCCACGGACAAATTCACTGCCACAAAACCCACCTTCTGCTGGGAGGGGGAATGAAAAATGCTACTGGAGTGCAATGTTGACGCTGTTTTAGTTAAGACAAGCTCACACTGAACCACCATGAACTTCAACCCACAAACTGGCGCTGGGACTTCGCAGCAGCTCCATCACACAAAGCCCGTGCTGCTATAAATACCAGCACACACAAATTCCAGCTGCGTGCCTTGCGTGGAGCAGCCTGGATGCTGCAAGCAGGGTTTTTATAGCACCACTGAGCAAGTAATTCTGAGAGGTTTCCAAGCAGAGAATAGTAGTGGAGATAAGTCTTCCCCGCCTGCAGTCTTGCAGCCACATATCCGAGAGTGTACTCTTAACCAACCATAAATGCTCTCACACACAGCAAAAACCCCACCCAGGGCTCCTGACAAAGATGTACATACAATTTATCCAAACATGCCACCGTTTGGAAAATTAGTTACTCGTGAGATTTAAAAAATGGTTTCCTTGTAACTCCCAGTAATTGTCAGAAGAGATTCAGCAGGGAGCACAGCCTTTGAAGCAGCATCATAAACACCTTGAAAACAAAGCAGCTTTTATGCTGGATTGTGGGCTGCTTCTCTTGACTTTGATCCCATGGGCTAAACACAAAGTTCACTATTGCACAAGATGCCTCCACTGCAAATTAATAAAGTTCATTCATAAGAATCAAAGGTGTCTTTGCTATCTCCACCAGAGAATAAAAGCTTATGAGAACAGAAAATCTCTCCTGATTTTTTTCCTCCATTTTTAAACTGGATTCTCTCCCTTTATTCTCCCAGAGCAGGAGCCTGTACCCTGGTGGGTGTGGCAGACACAGCAGGGCAATGCACTGTGACACAGCCCGGATCCCCATGGGATCTCCAAGCCTTTTTACACTCCTGCTCTGCAGGCAAAGGTGACACCAGCCCCTGGACCCCTCTGCAAGGTGGAACACCCCACCACTCCAAACTGAGCTGGTGACCCACGCTCAGCCAGCCCACAGCTGAGGTGGGCAGCTGGGAGCACTCCCCTGCACAAGAGGGGAAAAGCAGGAGCAGAAAGCCTCCACTCCCTGCCAAGGAAGTGGCCAGGCTCTCCCGGGTGTATTTTCCACGGACACCACGGCAGAGCTGCACACTGCAAGTCATGAGAATCCCTGAATGCCCCGGGGACATCTCTTTAAACTGCTATTTTTCCAGCCGAGCAGATGCGGCTGCTCCTGCTCCCCTGAAGGGCATTAATCCCTCATCAGTGCCCTTCCTCCATCGCCACCCCCAGCCCAGAGGTGCTGAGCAGAACACCTGGTCCAAGGTAATGAGGTTTGATACCCTCCCGCCACCTTTGGCACCTGGTTACAGATTAAACAGCTCCATGTGCCCACTCGTAATTCCTTCTGGAAGCACGCAGATCTCAGGGAAGCTGGTAAAACCTGCAGGGACGGGGCCATGCCAAACCATCCAAGAACCCTTCCAACCACCTGGGCAGGACACAGACCTGTGGAGGGACTTCTGGGCCGGGCTGTGTGCACAGTTTCTGTCATTCTCCTGCCCTCTTGGGTCCTTCCTCCTGACTGATCGATCACAAACTGATAGCAACGCTTAGAGCACTGCACTTCTTAGCAACAATCACCATGTGCGTTCCCTCCCCACATCCTGTTTATCCTGGCTTCCCCAGGAAGGCACAGGGGCACTGTGTATTCCATGCCTGGGCTGCTCTGTGA